TATATATATATAGTGTTTATCATTTTGTAAGTTTGTATATATATATATAATCTATGTCCTTACCCTTCAATGGTTTTGTTGTAATAATAAATCTGTATATAATTAAGGAATCAAATGACTGGACCTGACTTTATAGAGGACGGAGGTGGCCGCTGGGCTATTGTGTCCCTCCACAGCACGCTGCCCTGCCAATAATTCCCTCAATTGGAGAGGGAAGTACAAACCCATGTACACCCAGGCTACAAATATAACCAAACCCAAGGGGACACAGGCTCCCAGGCTCAGTTCTAGTGCCAGGCCCCACCTTGGCCTAAAGTACCTGGAACCTACAATTACAGGGAAAGTCCTGCTTCAGTAGTAAGCCCTGGAATTTTATCTGCTAAAATCTAAGTACTCTCTCAAGCCCACAAACTACAATTTTTCTAAGGATTATAATGATCGCGTTTGGATGTACTTTTGCAGGGCTTCTAAATCTCTAGTCCTTTTCCCAATGTGAACAGGCGTTAGAGCTTTTCACAGAAAAAAGTTATCAAAGGTTTTTTTTAACAGAGACAAAACTTTCTAGACTGATTCTTGAAAGTGACTGAACCATTTTGACTGAGATTTTCCCCCCAAAAAATATAGCCTGAGGAAAAATGTGGAGCATGGAGAGTCTTTAATAACAGACTATCTATAATGATCACCAAATGCAATAAGCAGTGGCAAATATATGTCATGAGCTGCAATTTTATTGTCGTACTTCTCACTCATCTCACCTCTTAGGGCACCTATACATGTGCCAAATATCTGCTCCAATACATGCTAAATTAATCAAGTCTGCTGAAGCGCGCTAATTAGCATGCTTCAGCAGCGTCTGCATCACATGTATTCACTGTCCCTATACTTCAGAATGACAGCAGGGACACTTTAACTGAAGCTTATCAAATAAGCTTCAGTTAAAGTGCCCATGTTGCCACTTTGAAGTGTGGGATGCATGTGAATACATGTGATGTTGCTCTCGGAGCTGCTGTAATTAAAGCGCCCTCCTCCCCATCTCCACTCTGGAGAACGTGTAAAGATGTCCTTAGATTCTAAGAGATCAGATTAACACATTTTACATCTATGTATTTGAAAGTTCATGGGGTATCAGATTTTAAAATCACTTTCACATAACATTTGTTATACAAAGTTGCATGAGATTGCTTCTAGAAATATTATAACACGCTTTAGTTTTTCATGACTTTGTGGCTTGTATTTAGCTATAAGGTAACTAGATTTTACAAGACAAGATTCATGAAAGACAGAGCAAATAAGTAGTAGTAGAAGTTCTAAATCATTATTAACATCCAAAATTTGATATAAACTGAAAACATGATGTGAAAAATGACAAAAGGTCTTCTACTATTCTTATATTTGCATAACTCCACTGATGGTTTTGCCACTCACAGATAGTGCAGCCACTGCAAACTCACATCAATAAATTCTAAACATGAGTTCCCAGATTGGCAGGATAATTAGTCCACATAGCAAGTTCCCATGTTCTAAATGACATCTCTCAGTTGTCAATCACATTTATACCTACCTGTTTCTCTCTCTTTGTTACCTCTTCCAAGGTTGTTTTAAGTGCCTTCACTTCACTGTTTGTTGCTTCTAGCATATTTCTGGCTCTTTCTTTACCCTCCTTAGCTTCATGCTCCATTAAATGTAGTTCTGATTTGACAGCGATCAGCTGCTTCTCAGCCTTCTCTTTCATCTTTCCCAGCTTTCCTTGGGACTTATTTAGCTCCTCTATGGTTCTGTTCTGTTCAAGGGTTTTAATCTAAAATAAACAATCCACAAAGAAATATTACATTCTTCACACTTTCATCAGTGAAAACCAAATATTAAAAATGGCTCCTCAAGAATGAGTATCTGCTCAGTTGAGCTTAAAAAGGCTGTTTTCACTACTATAATACAACAAACATTTTGAAAACACACAGAACAGTGGAAAAGCCAAAACTTTGCCTGTTTTAAAGTGTCTTCTCCCAGGCTCAAAGTAAAGCAGATTTTCTAAGGTAAAATAAAGCATGATCTGCAGGACTAGTTTAAATTTTAGCCATCGTTACAAAAAAGAATGTGAGCATGTTTGGTATTTTACATGCCATCATATTAACCTGAAATCTTTTGGACAATATTACACATTTCTTAAAGACGCATGATAGATTCTGAAATATCAAATATATTTTGACATTATTAAACTTTTTTTTGCCTAAAACAGATAGGTTTACCAGTTCTTCATTCATATACTTTTCCTTTGTTAGTCACTGGTGAAAGGTACCCTTGTACTTCACCTTAAGTTCACTGGTTTCAGACAATTTGGCTTTCAGGTCAGTATTAGCTTCTCTTGCCAAGTCCAGCTCCTTCTGTAACCTCTCCACCTTCTTATGCAACTTTCTAATAGTGAGGTTGGCCTCATCTCTCTCCACAGCCAGGGCTGTTTGCACTTGTTTCTCTTCTTCCAGCTGAGAGATTTTCTGCCGCAGAAGATTCATGTGCAGCTCTTTGCTCTCAAGCTTTTCTTTCTGAGTCCTCAACTGTTTTTAAGAGAACAAGGACATTTAAATCAAGCAAACAAAAACAAGTTCAACACCCATTACATGTGAATGAACTATCATAATAAGTTTGCTCCTTCTATGGCACATTTCTCTAAATTTGAACTCCTCCTCCTCTTAAAAGGCTGTGTACGATTCTGCTCTGGGTTACACTCACTTTTATCTAGTTCTCCTATATGTCACCATTTATCAGATCACTGTACTTCCTTCATCATGCCTCCGAGCCATCCTTTATATAGTAAAATACTGTACTCCTTCCTGGATGGTTGAATACATATTGCACCTAACACCTGAGATTGCTTTTACAATTACTGAATGTAAGATGTCTGATGGTGTTTGACCCAAACCATACAAAGGTATTGTGCTATTGATATAATCTGTTACCTGTATCTGAATATTTAAAACACTAAGAGAATCAAGGTTTAGGAAAGTTATGTTTTATTGATAACTGGTGAATTCAGTGTGTTGACTGGGCCAAAAAGGGATTTTTCTAGGTTTCAATAACTTCTGCTATTTTTTATATGCTACAAAAGTCATATTTTTGTTAAGAGTGTGCAAAAGTTGTGTTTTGTCTTCAATTAACCAACTTCATAACTGTTGTAAGCAACTTGGTGAATATGGAAATGTATTCAGCAAAATCTCTTTAAGGTTGCAAATAGTATCTATGCATGGGAATACAGTGGGGTCCCACACCAGGTTTCTATAGAAAGAAAATAATTAGAACATCCATCTGTAAAACATGATGAGGTTAACTTTTGTTCATCTACCTTTCTCTGTAGGTTGTGTGCCATGGTCTTGTTTTCAATTACTGCATCACCTTCCAGCTTGACCAACTGCTCTGCCCGAACAAGAATTGCATCAAGTCTCATGTCAAAACCAATTTCAGCTGCTATTCTGTCCAACTTCATTTTATCAGAAAGTTGTTCCAGAAATTTCAGGTACTGAAACAAGAAACAAAAGAGTTTGAAAATAATTTTTTTAAAATTCCCCTCAAGTCCTTCAAAATCTAAACCAATTTCATAGACGCAAGGGACCTTGCGAGATCATTAGGTCCAGTCCCCTGCCCAAGTGGCAGGAAATCAGCTGCGATCAGATCACCCCAGCAAGATAAGCATCCAAGCATTTCTTAAAGGTATCCAGAGTAGGTGCTTGCACCACTTCTGGAGGGAGTCTATTCCAGACTCGGGAGACTCGCGCAGTAAAGAAGTTTTTCCTTATGTCCAGTCTAAAATGGTCTTCCAGCAGTTTCTTTGTACTGGCAGCAACTAAGACCATTTATTGGTGAAACGAAACAGTATGCACCACAGATGATGTGACTGTTAAGGATTTCTCAAATTGTTCTTTTTAAATAGGTATTTGTTTGAAAAAAACACAAACAAACCCCTGACCTCATTATTTAGCATGTTAGTTATAAGCTATTATGGCATGTGGCACTGGCTACCACAGCTAGCCCAAGAGGCAGAGTATAAGTAGAACTTGCATAAGAATGCCAGCTATTCTCAATTGTTCTGGAAGGAGAAACAACATTTTAAACCCATTAGATTATACTCCTACCATAGGTCCTATTTCATATATTTCATAGACATTAGGGCTGGAAGGGACC